AGTCCATAGAGACTGCCTCAAAAGGGTACCGTGGTTCAATATTTCCTAGTGATGGTCCAGCATTCGGGGGAGCTCCTTTTCCACTAGCACAGCCCATGCACTCTTTCACAAAATGTTGGACGTCCGTATACATGCCGGGCCAGTAGAATTCAGTACGTAACTTCTCATGAGTCCGGGTGATCCCTTGATGGCCACCTTGAAAATCCTCATGGGCGTCCCGAAGTGAACTCAGGACTACCAGTCTCAAATTATCCACGGTATGTCGTGGTCTTCCGCGAACAGAGTGTGGAAGTCTGTACAATATTCCCCGGTCCAGAACGAACAGATCTGCAACTTTACTGATCTTCTTCAGGCGTGTGGATGAGAACTTGTTCAGGTCGTCATTTAGGAACGCCCTTATCTCTGTTAGATACTCATCACTCTCTTGATGAACCTTGATCCGTCTCCAGCGTTCAGCCTGAAACGCTAGCGGTCCCATGGGCGGAACCTCGTCGTCGTCAACTTCTTGAGCTCGCGATCTCGTGAGTACGGTCATGACTCGGGCGGCAGAAGATAGAGGAGCACATTCAGGGCCAGGACCATGTCTCGTTCCTGAATTGCCATCTCGTTCACCAGAGTCTTGCATGGGATCTCCACTGTGAACTCGAGTGTCGGTGCCTTCCGACGGTTTCACCAACTGCTCGCGAATCTTAGATACTACTTCCAGGTGTCGTTTCTCGAGATCATACTAAACAGTCCAGGATTCACCTTGGACAAGAAGCTTCGATGTCAAGTAATCAGCGGCTTGGTTGAACTCGCGCTTCATGTGCACCAGTCGGACCGTCTGGAAACGTTTCTTCAGGATTTCACATTCAGCTAGCCTCCTTTGGAGATTAGGCTAGTTACAATTAATCAGACCTTGGACTTGTAGAATCACAATTCTCGAGTCACCCACGACGACTATGTCCTGAATTCCCCTTTCCAAAGCCATTGCAAGTCCTTTAAGCAACCCGAAGTATTCCGCGTCGTTGACGGTGACTCCATCCAGGATGTATCCTCGGGCATCCAAAACCTTCCATTCAGGTAACTGCCACAGAATGCTGCATCCGCAGCTGCCCTTCCTTGTGGAAGTTTTGGCCGCACCATCGAAACTCAGGACTACTCCGGAGTACTCTGCCGAGAGAATTTCGACACTCACGACTGGAGGCGGTTTGACGCGCTCCTTGGCTGGAATGAGTACTTCGGCGACTTCATCTAAGTGCTCCCTGGGAGTGATACCTGCACCCATAATGGCGGCTAGGCCATCCTCATCTCGACTGACCTTCCGAATTTCCAAGTCGTACTGTGAGAGAGCGACACCCCATGGCACCAGGTGGCCTTCGGCAGTTTTAGAATTGATGACACATTTCAACACTGAATGTCGAGTGTAGATTATCAACGGACATCCTCCGATCATATTCTTGAACACATGGAGCACTCGCATCACAGCGAGAACTTCCTTCTCAGCAATAAGGTACTTGAGCTCGGCGTCACTCAGGGCACGCCCCGTGAAACGAACAGGTTGAACAAGCCCGTCATGCATCTGTCCTAGAACTGCACAAGCAGCCCACTGATTCGCATGAGGGATGATCACAAAAGGTTTCGTTCGATCCGAATGTCTGAGTAGTGGTGTAGACACAATCTTCCTCTTCAGGATCTCAATAGATTCTTTTGCTCGAGACTTGCTGCGCGCACTTGATCATCGGTCAACTCATAGAGTGAAGTAGCTACCACGGCGTAATCCTCAATGAATTTGTGGTAGGAATTCAGGCTGCCTAGAAATGACTGGTTTTTTTTCAGGGTAGACGGAAATGGTAACTCCTGAATGCCTTTTATGATCTTCGGGGTGGCACGTATCCCTTCAGCACCAATCTCATGAG